CTGTATCTGCCACTCCAGGACGCACCAAGCACTTCCAGGTACTGCGAGGAGCTCACTGGGCTGATGGCCAGAGACGCTCTCCTCCCTCTTCCTGCTTGGGTCACCCATAGGCAGTGGGCCCCCCCGCCTCTCAATCTGGGAAAGGCCTTGCGTCTCCCGTGGAGGTGTCTCCCAGGGGCTGCCCCAGCGCAGGTGTGTTTCGGAGTGTCCAGTCTGTCGGCTCCCGTGGATTTCCTTTTTTGCTCCCTTGCGAGGGAGTCCATGTGGGTTGCCTTGTTCTTCTCTCCAGAGAGCCCAGGAGATGAAAAAGAGGCTCCCCGCTGAGCATAAAGGAAGGGTGAGAGGGCAGAAGACCTGGCATAGAAATGCTCAGTGGGGCCCTCTTTGCTCTGCTGTGGAGAAAGCCCCATGCCCTCGGTCTGCCTGCTCCCTCTTTCCTCCATGCCTCGCCTGCTCGTTCTGAGCCTGGGTTGTTCCTTTGCAGACGCTCTACGTGGAGCCTTCTCTTTGCCTTTGTGACTGTCCTGGCCTGGTGATGCCCTCCTTTGTCTCCACCAAGGCCGAAATGATTTGCAGCGGCATCCTGCCCATCGATCAGATGCGGGACCACATCCCCCCTGTCACTCTCATATCCTTTGTCTTTGTGCACCGTGGCCGGGGAAGGGAGGACTAACGGGGGGTTGTCCGGAGAAAGAGAAGCCTGCTGGGTGGGGAGGGGGGACCTGCTTCTGGATGGAAGGACTGCAGAGGCGCATGAGGGAGCCTTGCTGGGGAGGATGAGCTGTTTGAACCTGGAGAGGAGGTAGGATGGAGGCTCCAGACCTTCCTTCCTGGTTCCAGGAGCCGTGCTTTCAGCTGAATGGCACCTGGCTGTCCAAGCTGGAGATGGGCAGGAGTGGGACAAGGAGGGAGGACCACGAGACGGAAGGGACCTGGATGGCTGAGGGGGAGGGCCGAGCCCAGATCCAGAGAGGCAGTTGGGGAGGCCTGCACGCCAGGAGCATTTGGTCATTTGCGTGCCTCCCTTCCTTAAAAGAGTCTTGGGGCAGCTGGAGGAACTGCTAAACAAGATGCATAATTACCTGGAAGAATGGGCAGAATTGGGCAGAGCTGGGCGATGGGTCACAGTCCAGATGAAAATCCATTAGGTGATGCACTGGTGGCCTGGGAGAACAAAGTGCCCCAAAGATGGTGGGAAGGATCTTTTTCCAGACTACTCCGGTGCCAGCATGGAGGGAGGAATGGCAGAAATTCATAAACGAGCACCTGCAGGCCTGGAGAGAGCCAGTGGTGCGTGTGGGGGCCAAAAACCCCAGCCGCCCAGATCTGCTGACAGGAGGTGCGTTAGGGGCGATGGCGGGTAACTCAGTGAAAAGGTGGGCCCAGAATGCGGCTGCTGTGAAAGGGCAGTTTCTGTTTTAAGGACCTTAAGGAAAGAACTTGTGAATGAAGCTGCCAATATTCTGAAGCCTTTATATCATTTGTGGTGCAGCTTTGCAGGCTTTAAAGTGGGGTTGGGACAGTCTTTCTCTTCAGGAATTCATGCTGGACTTTATCAAGTCAGTTTCCTGAATAAGAGAGGTGGTTGGCCTTTTGAACCTTTTTCTGGGGCCTCTGGCTGGAGAAGGCCAGGGTCCTTCAGGTCCCTGTTGTTTGGAAACAGCTGAAAGGCAGAGTGAGAGGTGCCAGCATTCGTCCAAATGGTACTAGGCTGTTCTAGAGTTGGGAGGGGAGGGGAGGTGGTGGGAGCCTGCTCTGCTCACTCTAGAAAGAGGCACCTACACCGAAGATGGTTCCTTCACTCCCTCACGTCTGCCAACGGATCTCTCGGCCCATCTTGGAGGGGACCTATGGAATCAGCATCATCCGGCCGTGCGAGGATGAGGACCTTGACCAGATGCCAACATCAGAGGAGCTTCTCTCGGCCCTCGGCCGTGAGTGAAGACCACCTTGGGTTTCCATGACAGTGCTGGGGGGCAGGATCTTTATGTGTGGGTCCACAAGCTCCATGGAGAGAGGGGCAGTGGCTGCAGCTTAGGCCACTGGCCTGGACCATGACCTCTAGTGTTGGTGGGGGAATGCAAGGGTGCGTGAGATGTGGCTTCTCTGTGGTGCATGTGTAAGGCTTGGAGCTGGTGAAGTGGGAATCTCTGATTCTCACACCAGAGAAAGCAGATTTGCACATGGGACAGAAGGCAGAAACCTTCTGGGCTGGGAACAGGCAGCTTTCTGGCTATGACTCAAAAAGGGGAGGAAGAGTCCCAGGGGACCGTCATATGCCGAGGGCTGGATTCTGGGAAAGTGTTAAAGGGGGAATGTCTCTGTTGACACAGCTTCCTCCTCCTCAGCAGTAAATCTGATCATATAACCCTGTGTCTCCTTGGAAGGGGGAGTGCGGAGAGTTTACCTGTTGTACTGGGTACAAAGCCTCGATAGGGCCCTGATCCTGGGCTGGGCTGTGCACTGTGCTGGCCCCCTTGTCTCCCCAGCAAAGGCCCTGGTAACTGGGTTTGCTTTCTTCCCCTGAGATTCTTGTCCTGCAGGTGTGGTGACCCCCCCCTCTTTCTCCCTCCCGTCCACACAGGCATGAGGGGTTTCATGACAGATCACGGGCAGCCAGACCAGCCGCGCTCAGCCCGTCATGTGCTGAAGGACTATGTCACGGTGCGTTCTTGGGCGTCTGAGCAGTGGGTGCCAGGCACGGAGCAGAACCTGGTTTATAACTTTTCAAAAGTGGAGGGTGGGGAGGGTGCATCCTGTTGTCACCTTTGCTTGCAGTTGTGCTTGACCAGGAGGTCCCTGCACCTTTGGCCTGGCGGGAGGCAAAGACAGCCCCCCCCCTTCTCAGTCAGGAAAGAATTGTTGTAAAGAAGGGGAAGCCTCATTTCACTCCAGTATTTCTGATCCAAATTGGAAGATGTTTCCTACACCAGACAAATAGAAGTTGGATATATGCAGCAATGTTAGCCTGTGTGCACAGGCTGGGTGCAAGCATTACACTCAGTCGTGGCTTGCCTGGTTTACAGAAGTGGCTGGTTTTACTCAAAGTGCTGTTTTAGAAACCTCACCTTCTTGGTCCCCACGTTACCCTTAGCCCGAACCGAACTACGCTGGTTTAGCCTGATGGGTGAACCCAGCCAGAAAGCAAGGGGTACCTAGAAGATGAGGAGGCCAAGGAGCAGTGAAATGCTCACGGCTGGATCCGGGGCAGGGGGTCACCCAGGGGTGCTTTGGGGCCTGTGGACGTGCCCTTGCTCTCCCAGGCCGAGGTCAGGGCCCACAGGTGACGCGCAGCCCCCTCCTCCCCGGCCTTCCCCTGCAGGGCAAGTTGCTGTACTGCCACCCGCCTCCAGGCATGGATCCCCGGACCTTCCAGCTCGGGCTTGAGAGGCTTCGCCCAGGTAAGGCGGCAGCGGCAGCAGCAGCACAGCGCAATGAGGAACAGCAGTCTGGCCGGGGTCCCAAGGCGAAGCAGATCGACAATGCGGTGGACTTGGCCTTTTTCCACCAGGTGAGGCGGGGGATGTCCCAGGCGGCGGCCCTGGCCCTGCTGCTCTTTGCGGTGGGTGGGTGTGCTTCCCAGAGCGCAGAGGCCATGTTTTGTGGTTTAAGTGTGGCTCCATCAGCTGCAGCCAGCTGAGCAGCAGGAAGGCGCATCTGGCCGGGAAGGCTGCCCGGAGAGCCTCTTTCCAGGTCTCGGGGGCCTGGAGCTGCGTGGCCTCGCCCCATCCCCTCCTGTCGCTTGGAGCAGCGTCAGCAGCGGCCCCTCATCTCGCAGGGCTTCTTGGAAAGCTCCACTGAGCTTGCCCTCGGCTGCCTGGTGTCCGCTGGCCGGCCCCTCCAGCTGCGGTGTGGGGCTAGGCCTTTGCCTGCCCCAGGTTGCCTGTCCCTGGATGGGGCCTCAGGGCTGTGCCTGTCTTCAAGGAAAACATCCGGGCCCTGACCAGAGGCAGCCAGGCTGGAGTGGCCTACAGGTCAGGGACGGCCGCCCACGACCCTTCTGGACCTGACTTGGCCGACGGAGCAGGGAAGCCTTGGAAGAGGCACAGGAACAGGAACAAGAAGCAGAAGCTGCGCCGTCTCACCAGGCATCTGGAGGCGTAACGGCAAGGAGGCTGGAGGGGGAGTAAGGGCAGTACCCTCTGGGGGAAGGAGCAGCCTTTGTGCCCAGGGGCTCAGCCAGGGTGAAGTGCCAGCTGAGGCTCTTGGCAATAAAAACCTTTTTCAATGCTGTCTCTTGGTCAGTCTGGCTGTATCACAAAGGTTATGTCCTGAATCATTCTGAGCTACTCCCCAGGTAGTGTCATCTTTCTCAGTACTGCAGAGGAGCTGCTGGTCTCCTCTCAGCGTTTTTCAAGTCCTGCCTCAGTTGGGTTCCCCCTTTGACCTGGTGGATGTATCATGCTAACCTAGTTTCTTGAAGAAGCCATGATGACCTTAGCAGCACACTGTGCGAGTCTTGCTAAAAGCCCCAGCCCCCCCTTCAGGTTGAAGGCTCCAGGTTACCTCCAGGTTGGGGGCAGGCGCCTCCAAATCTACTTGCAGGGGAGGGGAGGGTCTCCATCTCCTGCTTCAGAGGCAGCTGGTTGGCCACCATGGAAGACAAAATGCTGGACTGATCCAGCAAGGCTGCTCTTAGGTTCCGCAATGGGCTCCAGCTTTGTGGCTGCCCTGCTGGCCCTTGGCATGGGGACCTTTCAGAAGCCCGGAGGCAGTACGGCTCCCCCTTTTCCATGCCCAATTTGGGTGGTGCAACAATTGCCCCGCCCTTGCAGGGATTCTCACCAGTTGGGCTTCTGAGAGTCATCAGTGGAAGGTTCTCGTGCAGATGCCACAGTTGACCCTTGCTTGTTGGCCTCCGCCTGCAGCTCCTGCTCTCTCCCCCACACGGAGGAGCTCTTCCACCAGGATTAAGCACCGGGAATTCCAGAGCGAGAACGAAGTCTGTTTCCTGTTGGGTGGATGCGAAGGGGGAGGGAGCAGGTGATGCGGACAGTCATGCAAAAAAGTACTGAACACCCCCTGTAAAGTTTTTTTTTCTTTTTTAACATGTGGACATATCAATATTTTATCTTCATTATATAAAGGTGTTCCAATTGAACAAAAAAAAAAGCCTCTGAAAAATTGACTTTGCAATTGTTTATTCAACAATAAATTAACAGGTATGCCATTTCCTTCTGTGGAAAAAGTAAGTTCACCCTTATTTCCCCCTTCGGCAGAAACAACCTCAAATAGGCATTTCTTATACTGTAATTGTCTCTGGTCTCTGACATCCAACAGAAGGAATTTTTCCCACTCCTCCATGTAGAACTTTTTCAGCTGTGCGATATTTGAGGTCTCTTGCATGCACAGCCTGTTTCAAATCACCCCATGGCACCTCGATGGGATTTAGATCTGGGCTTGGATTTGGCCGTCCCAGAATACTCCATTTCTTTTTTTTTCAGCCATCCTTGGTGGATTTACTGGCATGTTGAGGATCATTGTCATGTTGCAAGATTCACTTTCGGTTGAGCTTCAGTCTTCTGACGGGTCTCACGTTATCCTCAAGCACCCTCTGCTACAACAAAGGACTCACAGCGCATTCTAGGGCGGTGAGCTGCCCAGGCCCTGATGCAGCAAAGCAGTTCCAAACCATAACATTTCTCTCACCACGTCTTACAGCTGATACCGAGTTCTGGTGAAATGCTGCCTTTGGTTTTTGCCAAACACACCTTTTGGTACCATGGCCAGATAACTCTCTCTTTGCCTCACCTGTCGGAGTGCTTTGTTCCAGAGGCCCTGGCCTTTGTGCCTAGGTCTTCATGAGCAAACTTTAGTCTTGCCCTGGTGCTCTTTCTGGACAGCAAAGGTTTCCTCTCGGCACACCTCCCACATAGATCTAATTTGTGCAGCTTCTTTCCAGTGGTATGCATTTTGACATCAGTAGTGGCAAAAGCAACTTGTAGGTCATGTGATGAAATTCCAAGTTTCTTAGAGACTTTTTCAGCATCTTGCCTCCTGCTCTCGGGCTGAACATGCTGAGAAGGCCGGACCTGGGCAAGATGGCCATTGTTTGAAATCTCCACTTGTAGATGATCTTCTGGATGGTGAAATGAGTGATGTCCAATGGTTTGGCAATCTTTAAATCCCTTCCCAGTTTCATAGGTATCTATAACCTTTCTGAAGGCTTCAGAGAGCTCTCTTGATGTAGGTGTGGTGACATCACACACTTCAACAAAAAAATGCAAATCAAACTCAACATCTGAGGTTTCAACAAGATGGGTTCCTCCAAGATCCTAAGGATGTTTTAATAGTTTGCACCTAATTCTAACTAGGTATTTGAGGTAGTGATAAATGTAGGGGTGTATTTACTTTGTCCATATGCAAAATTTGTGCTTACGTTTATTTAGATTATACAATGGACTACAAAATGTAAATGATGCCTTTTTATTATATCCCTTTATCAATATTGTTGAAATTAAGATCAAATATCTGTATGTTGAAATAAGTTGAAAAAGTCTAAAATTTCAATAGGGTCCACTTAATTTTTCATTTGACTATATACTCTTCCTACGAAAAATGCCCCAGCATCTGGATTTTGTTTGTGCCAAAACCTGGAAGAAGCATCCAGGACTGCTGAACTGTGGTTGATCTGGACTGCACTGGTTTCTTCCAGGTTCCAAACAAGGCCTTTGCCCTTTTTGTGACCACCTGCATTGTCATCTTTCCAAAAAATGGGCAGGCAACAGTGTCCTGCTGGCTGTGATACACAGGGCCACTCTGCTGGCAGTGCAGAGACATGTCCCAACTGCCAGTGAAGCAGACCCCTGAGCAACCGCAGGAGGCAAGTTGTCCAGCTGCTTGTGAGCTGGAAGACCCTGGAGAAGCCAAGAGCCCCGGGAGGGGACCAACTCCACCCCCCCTCCTGAATCTGCTTTTCTTACTGAAATGAAGGAACAGATTCTCTAGGGAGACCCTCCAGCTGCTGTGTCCATCTACCCAATGGTGCCCTCTGGGTTTATTGGAGGCTGGTGGTGGCAGCTTGGCACCGCCAGAGGTTTTGGAAGGGCCTTGCTTACCTTGCAGCACAGCAGAGCTGGGCCATTGCGCTTGACCTTGGACTAGCCAGCTCAGCGCCAGCGCTCACCCTTCCTCCGTGGTGCTGACAGCAGCTGTTCCCGCCCAGCCTTGGCACCCTGGGGCTCTCTTCCTGCTTGCCGCTGAAAATTGGCAGCCATTTGCCAATTTGATTGCTGTCAATTTGAGCCCAGGAGAGAACAAATGACTGACAGCAACATTGTTGAGTTGAAGCTGCTTTGTAATGTTTGGACAGTTCACCTGTGCTTCACTGAACTGAGACATACAGAGTTTGCAGATGGCTTTGCAATTTTGTAATGGCAGAAAGTGAAGAAGAACTAAAGAGCCTCTTGATGAGGGTGAAAGAGGAGAGTAC